TGCCTTGGGTCTTTCATTCTCAATTTTATAGAGTCAATTTCAGTTATAGTTAGTGGTTTACATGTCCTGATCTCTCTGCCGGACCTAGATGTTGATACCACAATTGGACACATCGACACATCTTCTCCTTGTCTGCGCCTAGCTTTCTTCTTGTTCTGTCGCCTTTCCTGTTGATAATAAATTTCCCCACTCGTACCGTCGTCATCTGAGTGTTCAGCTGTTACAAACGCATCTGAGCCGGTCATCAATAAATCTTCGTCTGACGAGCTTGATTCTGCATCTACAGTTTGATTAGATCGAGTAAAATAACGATGCTGTCTTTCTTTCCTAACTGTAATCGGCTTCTGAAAGCTGAGTCTTAAATCTGTTTTCTTTCTTGTTCCTGAGCGATGATCCGCTCCTCTCTGGGCCTCTCTGTCTGCACCTCCCTCGCTTCTCTGGGCTGTCACTCCTCCCGCCCTCTGCTCTCGCAGCTCTGCTTGAGAAGTACTCTCTTCAAACTTTGGACTAGAATGACTAATAAAGTTCTTTCCATTAAAACCATTTGCAAATGAATTTCCCCTAGTCCCTGGGGTATACTGCGGGTGAGATGGGCCTCCCTGAATCGTGTGGTTTTTAAGCTCACTTTCCAGTCTTGTCAATGTGTCATTAAATTGTCTTTCAGCCACTTGTGCCACAATTTCTCCAACCTGATCAATGTGTTTCTGAAGCTGGGTAGTCTGAGCCGTAACCTCCCGTACTTGTCTGAGCGCCTCTTGGGAGTGTTTTTGGTCCAGACTCTCCTCTTCTGTGCTAGTCACGGTACATTTGATTGGCTCTTCAAATGTAATCACTGGAGCCATTGTCACAGAGTCTTTACTTTTCACTAATTCTGTTAAATCTGGATACAATGGAACATACGGTGGAGGGGAAGAATCAGGAGCTGTACCTTGCAACTTAGCAGCAGTCATCCATTTTTCATTTAGTTTGATCATCATTGAGATCAGTGTAACCTCATCTGTCAACTTTTGAATTTTCTTATTTTCTAACGACTTCTCTCTTTGCATTTGAGAACGTTTCTCCAAAACGAATTCTCTTAGTTGTTTCATTAACCCTTCACTTGGGGGTGAATTTGACTTAGCTAAAATACCATCTTTCTTTTTTGATTTTAACCATGTCCTAATGCTCCTTGTTGTTGTATTTTTAATCTCTGTTGTTCCCTCTAAATACTGTATAATCCCCTTTATCCACTCATCTAATGTTACAGATGCCATGTTTTCTACCGTCTAGATTACAAGCCTTGTGTTATCAATATCAATGTAAAGAATCAGCAATTGGGTGCGTAATCTAAGAGCGTCAGATCGTGGTATCCCCCCGTTCGACCACAAATGTGGTGGGGGAATGTACACACGAAGCGTGACTCCGTCCTACGCGACCCAAGTTACTGCGTTCACTGTGACCGTTTGTGCAATGGTCACTTCAACAGAAAAACATCAACCACTCATTCACACCAAGAGAAAAATTAAAAGTGAGAAAAGTGAGACACTTTCCCTGTCCTCTCCCTATCGTCAATTAATTAAAACACACAGTTTTCTCCTTTAACTATTAAATCACTGAGATAAAACACACAGTTCACTCCTTTAACTCGTAAATCACTTAGAACCACACACAGTTTTTCTCCTTCAGGTCGACTATTGATCACTGAGATAAAACACACAGTTTTCTCCTTTTTTTTTAAGTCACTTAGATTTGAATACTAATATCGCAATAAAATATAAAATACTTGCAAGCAAATCCTTCAATATCCACCCTACTTTTTTTTTTTTTTTTTTTTTTTCTTTAGGTCTCAGGTCAGGTCAAGAGGAAAGATTAATTAGTTGGTAACAATTCTTACCGTTTACTTTGGCGCCAAATTAATCTTTTCTCTGAACCGGCCCTGGTGTCTCCTGTCGAAATCCTGTTCGAGCGACGCCAGATTCTGCAGTAAATCTGTCAGAATTCCCCTGCTCCAGAAGCTGCAGAGAGGCCGCAGTAGCACAGCCCGTTTCGTTCTGCAGGTCCTTTTAGTTCAACAAGAGACAAAACCAATGTTAAAACAGTAATAGGAATGACAGACACCAAACCTGATTTCAGATGTTATATTGAAGATTTGCAAGCAATATTACAAGATTAAACGGTCTGCGAACAAGCCTCGCTTCGCGTTCAAGATAAGAAGTGGCCTCGGGTTTCTCTGCTCTTCTGGTCAGACGAAGAAAACCCCCGTGACTGCTTCTGTACATCTCTTTATACTGTACATCCAAGGTCACTGACATCACAAATTCACTCTATGACTCCTTCTGGCCAGCTGCCAAAACCTGCACCTGTCTTGATAACAACAGTTGTTTTTCTCACTTTTCATACAGAACTGCTACTTATTCAGAAATAATAACCTTGACCTAACTGCTCTTTGAAATTTACACAAACAAGTGCTGTATAAACCTAATCATTCTGACGTTTAAGTTGTTTAAGTATTAATTTAGCAACAGAAACAATACTAAACTGATTTTAGTTTTAACTGGTGCAGGCGGCCTATAATATTCCAACACTATGGCCCCCGGGACATTGCCTGCCATTGAGGCAATGTATTGACCCCTTAAGCTCGCTAGCCCCCGCCGACGGGAGCAAACGAGGAAAAAAATACATCTGCTGGCAATAGCAGATGTATTTTGAACTTCATAAGCCACAAGCTATATATCATTTTAAAGCTTATTTTCTCAGCTATATTTATATGTAAGTGTAAACGATATCAGACTTTGCATTAAAAAGATATAACGCATAATATGGGCACAAAATAAATCAGTCTGTATTTGTTTTTTACCTTTTGTCTTCTGCTGCTCCAACAAATTAAGACTTTCCCCATCCTTGCTTAGTCTCTTTCTCTCCGTAACTGTTCATTGAAGAAGAACATCCACTTGTATTTCCCAAAGTATAATCCATTCTTCAGATTTATTCAAAAAACGCCCCAAAAAGAGGTTCAGACTGCTCTTTTACATTTCACCAAGTTTGAGCTTTTTATTTTGTACTATTGTCATGTTTTCAGATGTCTATTACATCTAATATGTACAGTATGATGATTGGCTTTAGAGCATATTTTATCGAGCCAGCAGGTGTCACCGGCACTGCCTCTGGATGTTGAGAAACATTGAACCAGTCCGGCCCTCGGCGCGTAGCAAACATGTTTTTTTTGGCCCTCTGATGTATTTGACTTTGACATGCCTGGTTTAAATAATCATCCTCCAGCATTCACATGATGCATGAGGGAAAAAAAGCCATTATTGAGGAGCAAGGTTGTAATTATCCAAAGTTCTGACCTGTTGGGTCATGTGTTCAGGTCACCCACGTTCAGGGTTTGGCATCTGTATGTTTGTCTTGTGTTTTGTTGCTTTGCTTGTTCCTTCCTGTTTCCTTTTGGCTGCAAAAGATCTGATGTTCCCCATAGATCATGCTTCAAATTTTCACACTGAACAGGAGCCTATTCAAGAAATTTGTTTATATATCCTAAGTGGGTTTTTACAAAGGTAATGGCAAAGATAATTCCACACATTGATTACAATATTATAATTGCCATATTGGAATTTAAGAATCTAACCTCTTTATGATGCAGACGCGGGTACTTCTGTAGCGGCACTTTAACAGTCATAGAAGAAACTCAGGGTGAAGACATATTATAGATCCAGGGTGAAGACATATGTTTACAAGCACTGACCCCCGTCCTCAGCCCTGGTTTAATCCTGATTTAGCTCCTGTTTTGGTTGTTTTCGAGCATGAGTCTCCGTGATCACTTTGCTACTCTCTGATGTGGAGGATGTTCACTGCTGAAAATCACTCGCAGCAGCGAACAGTTTTTAAAGCAGTAAGATCCATTCTACATACATTTGTGTGTTCATTTTGACATGTTCAGATGAATTATGTTAAAAAAACGGCTTTGAAGTTGCACCTTTTCACAGACGCTAGGGGGGGCCAAAATGGCGGCGATGTCGTGGGTGAATGACCTCAAACAGCAGCAGACAGCAGTCTGGGCTGGAATCTGTGGGAGGTTTCACTGTCATCTGAACAAGGTATAAACATACTTTCATCAGTTTTGTTCATAATAGTGTGCAACTCTTTTAACCTTTTAGCCTTATTTGTGAGATTCAAGCTAATTAGTGTTGGGCAAGTTAGCTAACTCTACTTCCATCCATCCATCCATCCATTTTCTTCCGCTTTATCCGTTGCCGGGTCGCGGGGGCAGCTGTCTAAGCAGAGACGCCCAGACTTCCCTATCCACACACACTTCCTCCAGCTCGTCCGGGGGGACCCCAAGGCGTTCCCAGGCCAGCTGAGAGACATAGTCCCTCCAGCGTGTCCTAGGTCTTCCGCGGGGCCTCCTCCCGGTGGGACGTGCCCGGAACACCTCCCCAGGGTCTACTTGATATCATAAAACATGCTAACAAGGCTAATATTCGTTTTTACATTATGTCAGTCTCACTTTGGTTGCCTTAGATTTATTTACCACAATGTACATTGTAATATCCATAAATGTTAATCAAAATAACTTGAATTAATTAAATATTTTACTTTTATGAACAAAAAGCTGCTGAAGTTGAAAACAAAGACACAAGAGCTAACATGATAACTACATGTGATGCAATCATTGATAAAAATGCTAATTAAACCGTTAATAGATGTTAGCATTTATGGATATGACAATGTACATTGTGGTAAATAAATTGAATTTGTAATTAATTACTGTACAACCTGAAAGTAAAACAAATACAAATCTGATGTTTATTTTATGTATTTTAGAATTGCTTCTCGTTGGCAGTATTGCATGTAATGAAGATGGAATATGATTCATCTTCTTGGTGAGTATTCAGTGTTAATGTGTATATTATATCACTCTGATCCTATGGCATATAATAAGACTTATTTGTTTTCCATACTCTCACTATACTGTAGTGTCCGCGCTGAGTATCTGGGTTAGATTTATCTGAGGAGGCGCCATGTGGAACCATCTACACCTGCAGAAGGAGGGCCATAATCTACACCTGCAGAAGGAGAGCCATAATCTACACTTGCAGAAGGAGAGCCACAATCTACACCTGCAGAAGGAGAGCCATAATCTACACCTGCAGAAGGAGAGCCATAATCTACACTTGCAGAAGGAGAGCCATAATCTACACCTGCAGAAGGAGAGCCATAATCTACACTTGCAGAAGGAGAGCCATAATCTACACCTGCAGGAGGGCCATAATCTACACCTGCAGAAGGAGAGCCATAATCTACACCTGCAGAAGGAGAGCCATAATCTACACCTGCAGAAGGAGAGCCATAATCTACACCTGCAGAAGGAGAGCCATAATCTACACCTGCAGAAGGAGAGCCATAATCTACACCTGCAGAAGGAGAGCCATAATCTACACCTGCAGAAGGAGAGCCATAATCTACACCTGCAGAAGGAGAGCCATAATCTACAGAAGGAGAGCCATAATCTACACCTGCAGGAGAGCCATAATCTACACCTGCAGAAGGAGAGCCATAATCTACACCTGCAGGAGAGCCATAATCTACACCTGTAGAAGGAGAGCCATAATCTACACCTACTGCTGCCTTTCGGACTTTCATGAGGCATTCCCCATTCAAGATGTATTTGTTTTGAATTGTTAATGGCGAAACGGCATCTGTCCCAAACCCAATGAACTGACAGATTTTGACGGACCCACCACTCTGTGAAACTACAAACTGTTGACAAAAGGCTGTGGCCATTTCAGTACCATTATGTAGCCCAGCCTTTTATGATTAAGTGAATATAATGATACATGACCGCCATGTACCCGCGGCAGACCCGTGGCGGATGCGCCGCGGTGTGCAAGTGAACTCAAATGCGGATCCGCGGCAAAACTCAGCATACCTTCGCCGCGGATTCTTTTTGCTAGTAGGGTAATGCGCTCAAGTGAGTGAGGCATTTAGCCTAGCTTTAGCCATCTATTTTGTAACTAATGGAGCCCGTGGGAGTAGAGCCACAACATCTTTCAATTTCTTGATATTTGGGAGCCGATCTAGAAAGGATCCCTGTACAATTGCATTTGCTGAAATTGTCAGAGCCGGCAATTCTATCGAGATGTGCCGCCTCGGCTGTTAACCCTTTAGGCGCCAGAGTTTTTTCAAGAAAATATACAATTTTGATTTCAAGATTTCAAAAGGCTATAACTTTAAAATGGTTTGAGATAAAGGCATACTGTAAATTAGAAATATCTTCAGTTTGAACCAAACTTTGGGATGGAACTTGATTCGTCATCTAATTTGCATATTGTGACGTCATCAAGGTGGCGGCCATTTTGGAAAATGTTAATTCTTGTATAAAGACTTCAAAAAGCTGTAGCTTGGGAGTTATTTGAGATCAGGGAATACTATAAACAGTCAATGTGAAATATCTTTAGTATAAAATGAATTTGGGATAGAAATAAATTCCCTGATCCAGATTATAGATAATGTTTTAGCACTGGTTCGCGGCCATATGGAATTGTATTATTTTCAAAGACCTTCAGTGATCAAGACAGCACTCTTTATAGTTTTCAATATTTCCCTTTCAAAGAAGTGGTGAGCTTACTATTTTTCTCAGTGGAAATGAGGCTCAAGGATTTACCGTTTACAAACAGAGAGATGAAATGAATGGGCTCAGAACATGTCAGATCGTCTCAACAACATACAACAGGCTCTTCAACACTTCTAATCCACTTTTGTGGATTATTTTCTCTCAAGAACTGCCTTCATCCTCATCATCACTGGTAAAGGCAGTGAACGCGATTAAGGATGTGTTTTTTTCCCGCGGCTCCCCCGCGGCTTCTCCCGCGTCTCCCTTGTTCCCTATGGATGTTTACCCCCGCTACTTTCTCCCACATGCCCGGTGTTATGATGCCCCTGTCCCCTCGACCACGGCCCCTGCTTGGCGTTCACAGAATGCTTCTACCGCGGCCACACGGAGGACAAGCAGCCGCTGTACAGGGGCTGATTGTGGACTATGGAGCGCGGTCTCCCCGTCACTAATAATGTCCGTGTCTGCTTCACTGGACACCTGCGTGTCTTCCTCCTCTGAATCTGAGTGAGTCAGTACCAGACCAAGTACTTCTCTGGTACTGAAGACCTCGTGAGTAAATAAAAACACTCTTTCCCTCTGTTCTGCTCTCGCTCCGCTCAGCTCTACCGCTGCTGCTTCGCCTCCGCGCTGCTGCGCCGCAGGTGTTTTACGAACTCAATTTACTCAAAAACTTTCAATATAACCACACCCACAAATGCTGCTCATATTACAGACACACATGTCCACTAACCCCTGGTGAAAAGTATTAACAAGATTCTGCACCACATTTTTACATACAGCCTGTTTAAGTGAGCAATGTTGCTTGTCGCAATATTGCGACTTTGGCGCTTAAAGGGTTAATTGAGTAATACAAACCCTCGCGAGCGTCTCACGGCAGCCGAAGCAAACCAAGATGGCGGACATGAAGTCCGTAAATTGCTTTAAAAGTTCAAATACAAACGAATGAAGACACTAATGTCACTTTTAATGCAATTTGAGGCGAGATGTTGGTGGTTCTGTGTTGTGACTTATGGGTTTTAAGCGCAAGAGTTTTGTGCAAAGTTTATTTTAAGCGGCGACTGCTCCTGCGAAACCACACTACTACTGTTATGAGAGCAGTCCTCGAGTTGACTGCTGCATACGTGGGCCTGTCATGGTAACAAATTTTGCTGGACGTTTAATTGCCTCAGAAATTATTTTGATAAGCGATAATATTGTCGTTCTGAGATCATTTTCATCTAATACAATGATAATGATGCAGGTACATCTATACCGAGAGAAATATTTTTTTTATTTTTAAAGACCTCCGTCGGAAGTAGCGGTTGGGCTTTGATGCTAACAGAGTTAAGCTTGCAGTTTTTTGTGTCAAGTTCTTCTTGTGTCCAGAGACCTTCCAGAGACTTTATATAACAGCAGTATGTGTTCACGGAGGTGCGCCATAAGTTTATTAGATTATTAAACGTTACCTAGCTACGCTAGCGCTAGCGTAGCCAGTTTCGTCACTGCTAGAGCCTAAATGAGAACTCGGGCTGGCATACTGTATGTTCACAAGTACTTTGTCCCCCATTGTCAATCCTGGTTTAGGTCCTGTTTTGGCTGTATTTTGCGTTTAGTGGCGGGGCTTCTCTCTTTTGCCTGTAGTTTCCCAACATGGATGACAGCAAAGGAGTTGCTTGGCTTTATCTATGAAATAAACCCAGACAGCGTCGTCAACGGGTGCATCGACGACGTGTCTGGATTCACCAGATAGTCCGTAGACGGTCGGAGTTTGGTGAGTTTCACCGTTTGCTCCGGGAGCTGCGCTCGGATGAGGGTCGCTTTCAGCGGTACTTCTGTGCTGTGGGGCTGTGGATGGGAAGCATGTCGCTGTGAAGGCACTCTCCAACTCTGGGTCCATGTTTTTTAACTAAAAGGGGCACCATTCGCTAGTTCTCCTCGCTGTAGTGGATGCCCAGTATAGGTTCAGGGTGATTGATGTGGGAGGGTATGGCAGATCCAGTGATGGAGGCATCATGGCCAACTCTGCCTTTGGTGAGGCTCTGCACGAGGGCACACTCGACCTGCCTCCTGACCAGCACATACCTGGAGCTGACCACAGAGGACCCCAGCCCCATGTCTTTGTGGCAGATGAGGCCTTCCCTCTGCGCCGCAATTTAATGCGCCCTTTCCCTGGACGTGGTGGCCTTTGCACAGAGCAGCGCACCTTCAACTACCGCCTCTCCCGGGCCCGGTTAGTGGTGGAGGACGCATTCGGGATTTGGTCTGCGCAGTGGAGAATGTTTTGCCGTCACCTGGAAATCTCACCAGAAGTTGTGGAGAAGTTGTGAAGGCCACTTGTGTCCTTCACAACTTCATGAGGATGGCTGGAGATGGGCAGGTACCTGCACCGAGGGGAGCTGCTGTTCTTGGAGAAGAATCACTTCCAGGCGTGCAGCGGATGAGCGCCAACAACGCGACCAGAGAAGCAGTGGACATAAGGAAAGTGTTCATGGCCCACTTCAGTGAGGAGGGAGCACTGCCGTGGCAGCCCATGGAGTAGTCATGTCCACCACAGGACTGACCCACAAAGGCTCTTTTCAGAGCCACCCACAAAATACAAAGAGCCTAACTTCATTTCTAACATATAATGTACTGAGCCTCTTGAATATGAAATTGTTGAGTTTTTCTGGCCATAGTTATTTGCACTATTCTATTGACCTGTATTCCTTCTGTTTCTAGATAATGACTGCCAGACTCCACTGCGACTCCGCTCCAACTTCAGGTTAATCACAACCAGTGGGGGAGGGTCCCAGCTCAAAAGTGGCCAAAATGACGTGCGCTGACATGCTTGCAATACCACCCCGGGCCGATGGGGGTGGACCCAGAAGTAGAATTAGCCAATGCTAACATATAGCATTGGCAGAATGCTCTCAAAAACGTCTTTACAAGATGGACCAAAAGTTAGCTCTTTGCCCAAAGCTCTGTTCCACATGTGTGTCAATGCTGAGGGCGTGGATTTTTTTGGTCCACTCTAGTTTGCTTGCTGTGAATTTTTGAAGTCTCTCGTTCAAATGAATGGAGTTGCGCCGGCTGACGCATGCGCAGATGCGTTTTTTCCATAGACTGTATATATTAATGGACAGAGTCACGCCTATCTCCGCCGTTCATAGGAGTTGGCCATGAAAAGTGCTTTCACGGAGCAATCCAAGATGGCCGCAAGTGGTCCCGCCCACAAGAAAATTGTGAAAAAACGCACCTGCGCATGCGTCAGCTGGCGCAGTTCCATTCATTTGAACGAGAGACTTCAAAAATTCCCCGTGAGTAAACTAGAGTGGACCAAAAAAATCCACCCCCCTCAGCATTGACACACATGTGGAAGAGAGCTTTGGGCAAAGAGCCAACTTTTGGTCCATCCTGTAAAGACGTTCTGGAGAGGTCTGCCAATGCTATATGTTAGCATTGGCTAATTCTTCTTCTGGGTCCAACCCCATCGGCCCGGGGTGGTATTGCAGCATGTCAGCACACGTCATTTTGGCCACTTTTGAGCTGGGACCCGCCCCCACTGGTTTGTTCACAATTTTCTTGTGGGCGGGACCACTCGCGGCCATTTTGGATTGCTCCAGTAGAGCACATTTTTTGGCCCATTAGTTAGAACGGCAGAGATAGGCGTGACTCTGTCCGTTAATATTATAGACTGTATATATTAATGGACGTAGTCACGCCAATCTACGCCGTTCAAACAAACGGGCCAAAAATTTGCTCTACTGGAGCTATTCAAAATGGCCGCGAGTGGTCCCGCCCACAAGAAAATTGTGAAAAAACGCACCTGCGCATGCGTCAGCTGGCACAAGCTCCATTCATTTGAACGAGTGACTTCAAAAATACAAAGCGAGTAAACTAGACTGGTCCAAAAAAAATCACTCCCCTCAGCACTGACACACATGAGGAACGGACCTTTGGGCCAAGAGCCAACTTTTGGACAATCCTGTAAAGACGTTTTCGAGAGGTCTGCCAATGCTATAT